TTAGATTTGAAATTGAGATCATTAAAGAAGTACTATTTCTTTAAACCTTATTTATAACATTTTATATTTATTGGTGATCATTAAAAGTCGTTGCCTATGAGGTAATGGGTTGTGCTACCAATTTTTTTTAAAAGTTACACAAATGGCTACTTCCTATGGTCTTAAAATATAGTATGATTTATGAGTATTAATAAGACGAATGGTGTTAATTAGGTGTAGCTAACCTTAATTAGAGATTTGTGGATTGGTTAACTGATAATAGCGTGATTAATTGTCATGTTCCAATGTTCCATAACCTTTCTGAAGTTAAGGACACAACTATGTTATGGATCTGCATATTTACGTGAGTAATATAAGTAGATGAATTCATACTTCCTGTTATCTATATGTTCTCACCTTTTTTCCACCGCAACCATCTTTTAGGCGATGGGTTACATGAAAACTTAATTAACACTCATAAAAAAACATATACAGATCTTTACTGCAAAAAGCTCACAAAATTCCAAATCAATATTCAGAACAAAAGAAAAAAACATGTTCCTAAATCATTAAAGCTCATCAAACTAAATATAAAGACCGAAAATTCAAAAACATCAATGCAAACTCTAACTCCAAACATCAGTAAACTCAAGACCATTTTAATTTTTTTTTAAAAGTCGTAATTAAGTTACATGTTTCTATCATTTGGGTCTAATTTAGTAATTTACTCTAAAACATATTAACAAAATACACAATATTAATTGAAATAAATATGTATTAAATTAACAAATAATATTAATGTGAAACTAGCCTGCTTGGTAGAGACTTTGTCTCTTAGATTGAAGGTTTCGAGTTCTAATCCGAATATTGACGAATTTTAGTAACTTCTAACCATTAACCAACCGATCAAAACAGAATAATCATTAATTTACATATAATCATTAGTTTAACATACAATAAATAATTTGTTGGCCTAATATATTATCATAAATTAAAAAACTTAACAGCACCGATCATATCTTTTTTTTTTTTCATCGTGCGTCTTAATTTTTATTTACTCCCATGTCTTATTTGGTTGCTCGTTTGGTGGGAAAGCAAACCAACACCCGAGGGATTTAAATATAGTCTCAATAGGAATGTCAAGCTGTAAAATCGATCTCACCTAACAACTTGCAAATTCTACGCATTGAAGTAAAAATCGTTATAAATAATTGACAAATGATAATAATAATAATAATAATAATAATAATAATAATAATAATAAAAAATAAATAAATAAATAAAACTACTAAATTTTGGATCATATATGAATGATGAATCATCATTTTCCTAAAGGCCCAACCCTGAGCATGCAATAACTGGATAAGACGAGGGCCCGTAAAAGTCTAATTCTCGTAACAGCCGAAAACCAGAAATTGGTTATATATAAACAGTTGTGTCAGTTAGGAACTTAAAAGCCATTTACTCTGATGGGTTAATCTCTTTGCTTTTAATGTGTAAGTCACTAATTCTATTTCTGTTTTTAACAATGTGTTTATTTTCAACTCAAAAAAGAGGCTTTAGATATCGTGTTTTAGCTCAACACAGTCCTAAAAAATAGACAGCCATTCTTTTCCTACAAGCTTTGCTGATAAAGATAGAAGAAGAGATGAGGATTTTTAGGAGAGATGATTATTTGGCTCTGATACCATGTTATTTGGTAAAAGTAATCTTGTGTATTTTCTCATTCATAAAACAATATATAGGGTACATAATACAAAAAGGGCGTAATACAAACAATGGGCCAAAGGCCGAATACACATAAACACGTATACATGAGTACTTGTTAACAAATATAACACGTCGAAACCAATTATGCATTACGAATTCATATTCATATTTCTCAATATATTTAGAAATAAAATAGAAAACGTAAATAAACTATTATGTTAATATTGGTTGATTACGTGAATACTAAAATGTTTGTATACAAAGTTTATGTGAATATAAATTTTGTATATTTTATTGATGTTAGGGAAAATTTCGAAAACTTTTATCGTATGAAAAGCAAAAATTCATGCTGTAAGCACTTGAATGGTTAAGCAAGCAAAAATCCAAATAATAATGTAGTTATGTGGATTTTGTAAGATTTTTAAATGTCAAACCATCCACTTCCACCCTAATTAATTTTAATTTTGTTACTTCTGTTTGTTAGTTGATAGTTAAAAACAATTTATTTGATAATGAGAATATGAGTAGGAAGTCATTTATGTTATCTTTTCTTTTTCATTTTTTTTAATACACCTAGCTTTCGGGAACTATTGTATATATATTCCTTCAATCTTGCTATCAAATTATAACCTTTTCAAATCCAACGTGCTTTGAAATTCTCTCCGGGTATGCATTTTTTTTATAAGTCTATGTTACATCGTTCTAAGACCTTTTTTTTTCTATAATCTCGTTCACAGTTATTTATAACATAATAGATGTTAATTTCTCATTGGAAGATCTAAAACTATTATATTGTTACAATAATTCCAAAAGATGTTGCTTACAAGTTAAAATGCCGTAAGTTTTGTAGATATGTATGATTCATGTAAATTTATAGCATACATCAATCAACAAAGTTCTTTTACATATGTATTTTGAATGATTTATGTTTTTTTGTATGCTTTAAGATATAGAATGCTCGTACTTTTCAAGTTTCACTTGGTGCTTAAATAAATTTCTCTTTTTCTCTTTTTTTGTTGAGACAACAACTTTATTAACATATTAATAAAATTTTAGAAAGAACAATATATTACAAAGAGAAGATAATACTCATATTGTAAAGCCAACCAACTCAATTTGTTTTACACTTATTACTCCTATTAAACATCCAAAAATAAAATTGAGAGACGGTCTTGTCAAATAACTTTGTTTTCCTCGTTTTGACAATTCTAAAAAACATATTGTTCAGCAAGTTTCCAAAACCCCAAAAAGTTCTAATAATAACCAAATCAAAATACCAATAGACCTTTGGTCTAGAATAGAATTATGGTAAGATTTCATCATTTCGTAAGTTGAAGGTTTAAGTCTCATTTAAAACATAGACATGTCATGTAGATTAGAATGTGTATAAATCGGTGTTCTAAAAAAATAACCGGATTAAAATATATTTTTTTTGGAAATAATTGCAAGTGAGTTGCTAGCTATCAAGTGAGTGTAGCATTGATTTGTCAAATGGAGTTTTACATAATTGCACGTATATTCATTTTTAGTTAGAAATTATTTAGCACAAAAATGAGGTACATATAAGGAGATGTGCAGCAAGGATCCTTATTGTATTGCTTAATATCAGTATCAATCAGAGTTTGGAAGTACAAAGGTCATATAATCTAGTTGTATAAAGTGCATTCAAAAATGCTCCTACTCTAAATAGTCGAGGGTTCAAGTCTCATGGTGTACGAAAGATGTAGAATTAAAAGTAGAATTAGCGGGCGTGTGTATTTGTCGTTCTAAAAAAATAACATAAAATAATAAGTATTATGTGAATATATAAATGATTCTAAAACATCGGATTAAAAATAAAAGCTTCCTTTTATATATATATATATATATATATATATATATATATATATATATATATATATATATATATATATATATATATAAAAGTTCAAGTTTCTTTACGTTTCGACGTAAATTTTGTGTCCGTTTTCATGTTTATTTTTATTTACATTTCCTATATATGTCTGTAGTCACATAGAATATGTTTTCATACAACAGTACAAATTGAAGTTAATTAGAGATATCAACCATGTATATTTATCTATACAACAGTAACTAATTTTTATCCATAGTGTTAAAATTCAACTTATAATTACTAGTTTGTTTAAAAAGGAGAACTACATGCTTTGAATAGTTGAATACTTATACAAATGTATCAAGTAATAATTTGTAGTAAATTACAGTTTCTAGTCCTTATGGTTTATTTAGTTTTTATGAATCTGGTCCAGTTTTTTGAATCTTAACTTTTATCGTCCTTGAGAATTTTACTTGTAATGCTTTTGGTCCGTATGATGAATGACATCAATGGAGGCGGTTAAACTTATGCGAAAATACAATTATGCCCTTACCTCCTTTTAGTCACATTATTACATCTTCATCCTCATGAGTCATCCCCTCCCCTCCTTATTCAAAATTATAAAGTTTAACCAAAAAAAAAAACATTAAATTGAAATAGAATCAAACTTCAAATCACCTTCTTGCCGATTTCTTCCTCGAGTAAAAAAAAGAATCAAACTTCAAATCACCCCTCCTTCCACCAATCTACAACTAAATTTACTCCATCATATTTTATTCGTCCCTATTAACTCCACTTTCTTGATTTCTTTTGTGATCTACATTTGTATTCATCAATTAACCCACGACCCATTAATGCTGGTGATTTCATAGATAGGTGAACAGAATTCAATTCCCGCAAAAACCATGCTCAATTATTTGATATTTGATTCATCTTGACCCACGGAAGAGATAGGTAATTGTTTTTCACCACCAAGATCGTCTATCAGGTAATTCCACTTCTGCAGATGAATTCTTTGTTAATCAAGTTAAGAAATTAGAAAATTTATATTCTAGAATTCACTTGGTTGATGCTAGAGCTTTGGTGAATCATCCATCAATGTTGCTTCATTTCAATGAAGACTAAAAGGAGAAACAAATACTAAGTAATGTTGTTTTTTGTTGCTGAAGAAAATGAAAAGATGAATTAAAGCAGTCTTCCAAGTTTTTTTTTTTTTTTTTTTTTTCCTTTCTAATATCATGTTTTGTTGAAGTTTACTATGTATGATACAACAGAAGATGAAAAAGATAGGCGTTGATGGGATAAAATGATCATTTTTCTTTTAGATTTAACCGTTGGACTGTTTCCATAAAAACGGCCTAACCACAGGGACGAAAATTGCAACTTTGTCAATAATGTGATTTGATTTTTTGTTCGGGTTTTGACTATGGAGGAGTAAAACATTAATGATGGTTGTAACTTGTAACGTTGTTCATAGATTTTGTTCGTTTTTTCTTTTCAATGACGTAGTCAAGTCATGAAAAGCTGTCAATCTCTTTGCTTTGCCAATTGCTATCTATCCATCTGTCTCCCTCTCTCTCACCTACATTCACATAATGACAAGCCTTCTCAATTTCACCCTTTTCAAATCCCAACATTTTTTATATTTTTCTGACGCAGAAGAAGTTCAATTCATGATTTGGCTCTTTTATAAAATCATCAACTGCGGATCTCCTTGTTTGATTGAGATTCAGCTTCTTACTACATCACGTAAGCTTATCCAATCTCATTGCCTGTCCTTTCTGTAAATCGAGTTTACTAGAGTGATCTAGTTGCTGTTTTTTTAATTGATAAAATTCGAGCGCGATTTTGAATATGAGTTTCCGGTTTTTAGTCTATATCGTCTCACAGTCGTATTTTCTTTGAATTACGACGAATCGAGCGAGAAGATTTGAGTTAGGTATGATGTCATGCTGATTAAATTTTCTCCCTAACTTTCATGGATCATCATTATCGTCTTCTGTTCTAGTTTATGCTCTAGTTTTCCGTGCATTGATCGACTCTGTTCTAGTACTTGCGTTTTGCACTCCTGGTGTTTGATAAAAATCGTCTATTTAGTACATTTGAACCGATTGATGCTTGTTACATGTTCAAAATTTTCTAATCATCTAGTAATTTTAACAGTAACGATCTGATAACGATTCTCTTGTTTATTTCAGGGTGATTCTTCTGTCATGTAAAACAACAACTGATATGGATCATTCATGAAGTGCTTGAGTGTTAACTAATTGGTGAGAATCTAAGCTTTCTTGCAAAAAATGGCTATGGCTCCTCCCATCAAAGTGTTTCTAGGCTCTTTTGCCTTCGCTGTATTTTGGGTATTAGCGGTTTTTCCTGCTGTCCCTTTTATGCCAATCGGAAGAACAGCAGGGTCTCTCCTTGGTGCCATGCTCATGGTTCTTTTTCAAGTAATAACTCCAGATCAAGCTTACGCTTCCATTGATCTTCCAATCCTTGGCCTCCTCTTTGGTACAATGGTTGTAAGTGTTTATCTGGAAAGAGCAGATATGTTCAAATATTTAGGTAAGTTACTCGCATGGAAAAGTCAAGGATCCAAAGACTTACTCTGTAGAATCTGCTTAATATCCGCTGTTTCCAGTGCTTTTTTCACTAACGACACATCATGTGTTGTGTTAACTGAATTCGTACTCAAAATAGCAAGACAACAAAACCTTCCGCCGCATCCGTTTCTACTAGCACTTGCTTCAAGTGCAAATATCGGGTCATCCGCTACACCAATAGGCAACCCTCAAAACCTTGTAATAGCAGTTCAAAGCAAGATACCATTTGGGGAATTCTTGTTTGGGATTGTTATGGCGATGTTGGTGGGCGTTTTCGTAAATGCGCTGATTCTGTTATGTATGTTTTGGAAGGTGTTATCTGTTCAAAAAGATGAAGAAGAACCTCCTGTTGAAGTATCAACTCAAGAAGACGTGAATTCCCATCGATTTTCACCAGCTACAATGTCACATCTTTCATCTCAAAATTCTCACGAACTTGCTGCTAGTTTGGACGCGATGAGTCATCAATTTCACAGCTCGCCAGGTGTCAACGGAACATTGGATAATCTCACTCTCAGGAACCGTATAACTTTAAGCGATGAAATCCACACCCCAAAAGACATTACAGGTACAGACAACGGAAACGGAAACGGAAACGGAATCGGGAATGGCGATTCCGGTTTGGGTTTGGAGGAAAAGGATGAAAAGTCTGCGAAATGGAAGATAATGTTATGGAAAACAGGGGTTTATGTGATTACGATCGGAATGTTGGTTTCCTTTCTATTGGGGTTAAACATGTCATGGACTGCAATTACAGCTGCTTTGGCTCTTGTGGTTCTTGATTTCAAGGATGCAAGGCCATGTTTGGAGAAGGTTTCTTATTCGCTTTTGGTATTCTTTTGTGGGATGTTTGTGACTGTTGATGGGTTTAATAGGACAGGAATCCCAAGTGCAGTGTGGGATTTCATGGAGCCTTATGCACAAATCGATCATATTTCTGGTGTAGCAATTCTTGCTGTTGTTATTGTTGTTCTATCAAATCTTGCTTCAAATGTGCCAACAGGTACACTATTTATCTGTCTCTTTCCATCTAATCTTTTTTTTTATCATTACCTTTGATTTGCTTTAAACTTTTAAAAAGTCATTTTTATTTTATTGTAAGTGACTTTACTTTTTTGGTCCCTGAGTATGGTTAATTTTTGCAAATTTAGCAAACAATGATTTAATTTGAGTAGAAATATGTCGCAAAAGAAAACTATTAGGGACCAAATTTATAAAATAGCAATTACTCAAAGACCAAAAATGTAACCTTTGGGATACGACAAGGACTATTCTTGTAATTTACTCCGGATCTTAATTTTGCAGTGCTGTTGTTGGGGGCAAGGGTGGCGGCGGCGGCGGCTAGTATATCGCCGGAGAAGGAGAAGAAAGCGTGGCTAATATTGGCGTGGGTTAGTACGGTTGCCGGAAACCTTTCTCTACTGGGATCGGCGGCGAATTTGATTGTATGTGAACAAGCTCGTCGTGCTCAAAATTTTGGGTATAATCTTACGTTTTGGGCTCATCTCAAATTTGGTGTTCCTTCCACAATTATCGTTACAGCTATTGGTTTGACATTGATAAGGGCATAATAATCTTCCTTCATCTTTTCGACATTTCCTTTTAGGTTTACGTAAAGAAAAATTCAGAAAAGAATACTAGTGTTTTCACTCGATATATATGTAGCTATTGTTTTTAATTAGAATAAGATTGCCACAATCAAGTAATGTGTGCAGCCATGGGAATATGTATGTCTTGTGAAGCGAATATTGGCTGTGAGAGAATGATTTGAACATAAACCCAACTCTCCTTGTATGTGTTTCTTCTTGCAAATGAAGTTAGTCTTTTTTGTATTATACTAAGAAATGATTATGTTAGACACTGTTCTTAAACAAGATTTTCACCCTTGTTGCTCGGGTATCACGAACTTTGTTTGGGGATTATCCAACAAAGACGGCAACCTAAAGTTTGGGCAATCATATTGGAAGTCTTTGTCTGAATGTGTGTATATGGTCTATTCAATCTGTTGTAAAATCAGGAATCAAACTTAATATTCATAGTATTAGTTTCATCACAAACTCTAAGCATCATGAATGATAGTTTTATGTTGTTGAAAACAATTTTGGACGATTATCAAGGAATTTAAATGGAAGAACATAAAAAGCTAGTCATTGTTGCCCTTAACCCTCCAAGGGGGTATGTGTTTAAGATCAAACTAGTTCGTACATCTATGCACTTTGGACCACCTCACACATACTTTAGCATAATTTAAAATCTCATGTAGTAAATTTCAATAACCTAACATGTTGACGATGATAATTAAATCACCAACATTTCTTGCAATCCCTAATTTTCACAAAATAAACAAACAAACAAAATCTTATACATAAGTAAAAAATGCCACCATGATTGGATTTTCACATAATATAATAATATTCGAGAACCATAGAGATTTCACCCATCAATATATTTGAATATTTAAAGATGATATACATATAAGTTTCCAGGTACTAGTCTGGTACTAAAACTTAACACTACTATAAGTTGTCTAACCCTCCCTATCCATCATTTTGGAGCAAATACAAAGTTAAGTCTAGCTTCTTGAAGCAACTAATCTTCATACACTCATATAGGATAATAGGAACTAATAAGAAGGTGAAACTTCAACCTAACATCGCCTGCAGGTTCGAACAAATACATGTGAAGATTTTTTACATGTGTTCCAATATCAAAATGTGAGCTTTTTTCCACATTTAATTCATCTTCTAATATGACGTATTAGAATGGAATTAGGTATCTCACTATTAGAGATTTATAGTCTTTAATTTCACCCCAATCAAAGACTTGTGCATCAACTCCTTTTCCGACTCTTTACTAACTGGTTTGCCATTTTTTTAGATCTCCCAGACTCCACAAACAATATATTATACATGAGGCTCAGTCCTAAGAAGGTACATACCTATGCAGTTGCACAAGGCCCAAAAAAGATAGGACCCGAATTTAAACCTTCTTATCTAGTTAATATGTTGATATATACCATCTTATTCACGCATATACACAAAATTTATGTGGTTCAACTAGCCTAAGGGCCTTTTCTTTTGACAACTCACTCGAGTTCAATTTCCATTAATCAATATTTGTTATCTTCATGTTTATGTTTTCTTTCTCGTCTGCAGTGTACAGTTTTTTAGATGATCATATTTTACTACAAAGTTATACTTTCAGCCACTGGGTTATGCTCCATGCTTCACAATCTACCCCACCTCCTGATTCTTGTACAAAATCAGTTTCTAGAAGTTACATATTTAGCCCCTTAACTTTTATATATTTGCATTTGTCCATTTTTTATTAATTTAATTTACTTTTTAGTTTTTACTTATGACAATTCACCCCGTTAACTTTATTTTTCTTAGACAAAACTGCAAATTTGGTCCTTGTGGTTTGCAAAAATCTTTGGATGGGGTCCAAAAACTTTCCAACTTGCATAGAAGGTCCAAAATCAAGGTTTTTCTGAGTTTTTAGTCCATTTTGTCTTAGTTCGTTTGTTTGGAGTCGTTAGGGCCATCACGTGCCCTCCATGTGAGGGCATTTTGATCTTTTTTGCTTCCCAGCCTCCGTTGTCGCCACTTCAATTAATAAGCTGTATTAGGCAATACTTTTGCAGACTGTACTTCACTCCTTCGTCTTCTCTCACACCTCGTTCATCAATCAAGACGCAAAAATCCTAACCATTGTGTGAGAATCGATTTTCGTCTATGCTTTTGAAAATGTGGGGACTCAGAAATCTTGGAGAGAATGTTAACGTTCAAGAAGTTTATGGTAAGATTCTCTGTATTTGATGATCAAGTTTCAAACTTTGAAAAACTCTAACAATCGTCTCTTTCTGTTTTGAAGATGGTTACCCCAACATATTCTCTATTGAACTTCATCACGGAGGGAGTTTCACAAAGTTTCCAAATATCAGGTATATTAATGGGCAAGTTAGGTACTTTGATGTCATCGACATTGATGAATTTTTTGTGCATGAACTAGACTTGATGATGAGAGAATTAGGGTTTGATGGTACTGAAATCATGTATTACCATTTCTGTTTGCTTAATGAAGGATTTGACTTTGGACTACGAGCATTAGGTAATGATGATGATGTGTGTAATCTCACAGTATGTTACTCATAACAAAGTGATTAAAGTGTACACAGAGCATGGGCAAACGAACTTGCTTACATATTTTATGTCCCCAAATGGTCCAAGAAGGGTTATAATAGAAGACATGGACAATCAGGATCCTCCTAGAGCCCCATCACTAGTAGTTGCTCATAAAGTGGTAAGTCCAATCCAAATTGATGTTGATGAGGGTGACTTAGGGTTAGCATTAACCTTATACAAGTCAGCAACACCTGAATTTAGTAGGTCTAAAGGTTGGAAACATAGTAAAGGGGGATCGTCTTGTAGTAGAAAACTTAACTTGGATTGGAAAGGTGGTGAAAAAACAATGGCAAGTAGTGACGTTGATAAAGGTAAGGGTGTTGAGCCAATGCATCCTTAATTTGTTGTAGTTGATGCAGAAAAAGAGTTAAACAAAGAGATTGATGTGAATGAAGAACTTGACATGAACAAATCCAATGGTGAGGGTGTGGAAGGATTTACAGATGAGGGGTATAGAGTTGTCATGGATAATGATCCTCAAGGAGTCAATGAATTTTCAATTAACATCAACATAGATGATGAGTTAATGACAAACTTTCAACCTTTTGAAGGGTTTGAAGACCAAGATAGCATCACATTTCATGGGTTTGAAGGCCAAGATAGTATTCCTTTTAGTGATGAGTGGAGACAAGAGGATTCTGATGATATTGAGTTTGAGAATCAAAACAGTGAAGATGAAGATAATGACTTTATGATTGATGAGGACAACCTAATTGAAGATGTTGAAGTTGACATGGAGGATTTCAATCTAAATATTGATACAAAAGCAGAGTTTACTGGATGTCACAGTTTGGGTGGTCAAAGAAATGAAGAGAGTGATCAAGAAGAGGATGTGGAAGTAATTGATAATGACGAGTGGGATTCACTTAGTAATGACTCAGGGGACAACAAGAAAAGAAGGGAAATGATCAAAGAGTTGGGGAAACAAACATTGTGTTTGTAACACCCAAATTTTCAAAACAATTTTTTTACATTTTATAAAACACATTTTCATTCATAATCGTTATAAAAACACCATTGGATCACATAGTCAATCATAATATCATATCCCAAGATCATAATAAAAATCTCCCCGTGTGTGTACTGATCAAGCCGGCGCCTTCCCGCGATCCTCGCTGGTACCTGAGACACATAACACAACACTGTAAGCATAAATGCTTAGTGAGTTCCCCAAAATACCACACACAACACATATTAGCCACTCAAGGCTATAACTCTGATGACCCTCTGGTCAAGGTGTCTCTGTGGGACCCTCCAGCCCCATAACTCTGTGGGCCCTCTAGCCCTAACTCTGTGGGCCCTCTGGCCCTAACTCTGTGGACCTTCCGGTCCTAACTCTGAAAACTCTGTAACATACATAGCATATAACACATAGAAATCACATCATGCAAAAACATACAGCATACTCTGTCTCATAGCTCTAATTACCACTCTAGGTAAAGTATAGTGAGAAGACTCACCTCGGGTAACTCGGTAAAGCTCGAACTCTGTAAAATTAGGTCTAGCCTCCGCCTAATCATGCAAAATAAATACTCTCAATCAATACATCGCTCAAGGCTAGACTATTCCTCCTCTTAGTACTCTCAGAAGGGTAAAAGGCCATTTTACCCCTCTCATAACTCAAAGGCCCCACTATAGACCAAACCCTAAAAGTCAACCAAAAGTCAACCCTCCGGGTTACGCTGCGCGTACCAGATGTGTACGCTGGGCGTACCCGGCAGTCTCTCAGAATCGGGGAACGCCACCCCGTACGCCGCGCGTATTGGGAATACATCTTAGTGGCCCCGGGATGGATCGAAAACCTCGATCGGTGTGCCTCCTCCATCAATATGGTACGTGCCCCGCCCACAAATGGCACCCAGATCCGACCCTGGAAGGTCATAAGCCCTCTGCTATCGGTAACAAACTCCGATACATATCCGATAACCCGCTCTCTCTTGCGGTTCTCCGGTCTCACGGCCTCAGCCTGGGCCCCTCGGATGGTGTCCAACACCGGAGTCATCACTGTCAATCTCATACAAACGTCCCGTATCGGGGCGCTCTCCGCCCTACGACTCAGGGCATCGGCTACAACGTTAGCCTTGCCCGGGTGGTACAGGATCTCACAATCGTAATCCTTTACCACGTCCAACCATCTCCTCTGGCGCATTTTCAGGTTGGGTTGATCCCTCAAGTACTTCAAGCTCTTGTGGTCCGTGTATATGGTACACCGAACCCCATACAGATAGTGACGCCAGATCTTGAGGGCGAACACTACAACCCCCAACTCCAGATCGTGGGTGGGATACCTCGTCTCGTGAGGCTTCAGCTGCCTCGATACGGGACGTTTGTATGAGATTGACTCATACAAATGTCTCATAGCTCTAATTACCACTCTAGGTAAAGTATAGTGAGAAGACTCACCTCGGGTAACTCGGTAAAGCTCGAACTCTGTAAAATTAGGTCTAGCCTCCGCCTAATCATGCAAAATAAATACTCTCAATCAATACATCGCTCAAGGCTAGACTATTCCTCCTCTTAGTACTCTCAGAAGGGTAAAAGGCCATTTTACCCCTCTCATAACTCAAAGGCCCCACTATAGACCAAACCCTAAAAGTCAACCAAAAGTCAACCCTCCGGGTTACGCTGCGCGTACCAGATGTGTACGCTGGGCGTACCCG